TCTGAGATTCCCCCACAGGATGAATTTGAGGCTCCTGCGTATACCATATCTGGCACTGTTAGGTCGGAAAACGGCCTAGTTAGGGAGTTATAAAGGCTCAAAAATTGGCCCGTGTGCATCCTCGGACGAGTTCCACCGGCATTCTAGAGGCTGCACCGATCACAAGGGAACCCATGTAGGAAGTTCAAACAACTTGTCATGACCCATACCGACAGTGAAAGACAGTTCTGTACAGTTCTGGCTTGGTGTAGTCAGCTCTTCGCGCAATTGCAATAACTGAAATCTCGTCCGAATACCCCTTCCATGTTATTTCCAGTCATGGCAATCTCGTCCAAACTCTATTTTCCCTACTTTTGAGGAACCATATTTCTCTCGAAATCGGCGAACTCTCTCGCTTTCTTCACTACCTATGAACTGTTCCCAATCTATACTTCTGCTTTTCGAATAAAAACGGTACTTCAAATTTATCGTGAACTGAGCCTTTAAGCAGTCATTTGACGCAGTCCTCAACTGCTCAAAATGAAAGTTACTGAGAAAAATCCTGCTTTGGAGGAAATCATCAGCAAGCGGTCAGTTACCCGAATATGCTAATAAGCACGACAACAATCTAATGAACGGCGCGCGTCGTTAGCAGATCGGAGCTTCGGCTACATGCCTCATACATCGGCGCAGAAGTGAAGCAGCGCCAAGTGGCGCCATTATCACACACGTACATAGTCGAGAGATCCAATCTCGCTCAGATAACCTCTGGGTGAAACTGTGTTTTTCATCCCTGCGGGATCGGCTAATAAGCATTACAATTGCTCGGGAGGACAAAAAGACTGAATAGTTCTCCGCCTGGTTACCGTAAGTCATTGTATAGGCCAAATACCCATTCAAACCCTATAGCGATTCTACGGGGAAGCTGGATGCATGGGCCATGCCAAACCAGGATTAATCAGCGCCTGAATTTCGTTCTTCTTCTCCGCCATTCTAGAACGAGCACGGTTGGCACGGGGCCATGAAATTTTCGCCATGCGGCAGGACACTTGGCAGCTAAATCGCTAAGTGCCAGTACATACGGAACCGGTTCGGCTAACCCGTCCTAAAAGCGTGGGGTCAAGGACGACGATAAATGCGAATTAGTGGGAAGAAGAGTGAGAGAGAGAGTTCAAACCGAATAAACTGGCTATTAGCAAACATGCTTCGATTGTAAAAACATCCAAATGGGAATGATTTAGGAAAAGATGAAGTAAAAGGGCTAGGGGAACAAACTGAAAAAGGAATCTGGGGCTAATCTAGGAAAATCCAGGGAAAAACCACTTGATCATTCAGCGCCCATGAAAAACTATCTACTGCGTACTTGTAACCTTTGCACTTCTACTTCAGTACATTCTTTTCCTCCCGGACGAGGGAGAGGAGAAGGAGATTTCTTTTGAAGTTGTGGAATAGGCCCCTGGGGTCGGTGGTGGGGCATTAGTGGGGTTACTGTATCACACGTTAACGGGACATTAAAATCCCTCTCCGAACACGAGCAGAATCGAGTAAAGATAATAAATGAGACCTATATTGATGTAAAAATAGATATATTTCAGCGCCTACTGTAATACGCTCGATCATCAAGCATGCGACGAGTTGTGCAAGGTCAGTACTAATTTTAGTTTGAAATTTTTAAAAAATCTGCCATTAAAATGGAATTTTTTTCGAGCCCCACCCTCAAAACATGAATTGTTGATTTACAGGTAGACAACTTTTGGTATGGTCATTGCACAGCATGGGATGGGAAGAACTTCAGGTTGGTAGACAGTTTTTACTTTTTACATGCAGTTTTTACTTTACTGAATAGGAAGAAAATTTTGAAGACCCCTTCGTATGCTATGCCTCTTTGAAATTCCGAAATGGGCAGTTGTATAAGAGAGAATTGCACGGGAAATGATCACGAGGGGCTACTTACTTTGGAAGATCATAATGTTTGTTGTGCTATAGTCGTTGAACATCCGCGCGCGGTTGCGAAGCGACAACTGGACCTCTGGTCCCAAGGGGTGTAGTCAGTTGAAGCCTGACGGCACAATAATCGATCCATCTAATAACCAACGTGAAGTTCACCAGCAAATAATTGGAAAATTGCCAAAGAACAGTTACTAAGTTCTCAAAATCAAGAGGATTGAGTGATATCATCTAAGAGTAAGCCTCATTTAGAGTAACCTTCCCATCGGGGCTTTTTCCCCACTTACCCCATGCAACAGCAACGTTCCAGTCATACATGCTTGACACATACCTAAGCATTGCGCAAACGGAGTTTATTCACCAACATGATGTTCCCCAATCGTCTCCCAGAAAGAGTATTTCAGTTAAACCAGTTTGACTCCTCCTTGAAAAACCATCTCTTCACATTTCACCGCACCACATTCCCCTTCCTTTTCTTCCTTTGACTTTTCCGCATGCGCAGTACAGTAGATGAAGAAAATAACCTTATTATTCTCTACCCATCAGAATTTTTGCCGATAATTTTCATTTTCACATATATGAGGGAAAGAGTTCCGTAAATAATCACAGATTTTCTTTTCAAAGTATATTCCTTAAAATTTATAGTTATCAATCACTTGGTTTAGCTGTAAATGCTTCGAATACGTTGCACCACTTGACGGTTCAATATGTACAGGGAAGCATGCATACTGTTCAAGGAAATGTCAAGAAACGGTAAGTTATAAACATGATTATCGATTGGTGAGCTTATTAAAAGGTTATATGGGACTCGCGTGGATTCCCACTCCATTTTCCATATCCGCAACTATAATAGTATTTACATAGCTGCTTCTAAGAGTCGTTCGGGATACCCTGAAAAGGGGATGTTGGGGAATTTCGAAAGGAGTAGGACGTGAGCAATCGTGCGAAAGTCCTAATAAGCCATTTTATGTTGCCATCACGGAAGCCCCCATGACCCATTATCACCTGTCATTGACAGTTCCCAGATCGTAAAACAGAGTTCCGATCATATTATGACGTGAACCGGATGGATGTGGCCGTTAAGAACTTTTCACTGAGGTAGCCAGCAGAGGTAATGAAGATTTAATAGGTGCAGCTTTCAGTTGGCCACCAATATTTGGTTCAGTTTTCACTAGTAGCCTCTTGAACTCCTGTTGAGTTGAGCTGCTTTAAACTGCAAAATGATTGCTATCCAATTTATCGTATTCCTATCATTATTCCATATCCATATATCCCATATTTTTATAATGAAAGTTTTACAATTTTTTGTAATCCTAAATTTCATTCTAACTCATTTTCTGACGGGCGGTTCCTGTGGACCGTCATTAATTACCCGACACGAATAAATTAATTTTTTTTAGCTACTCAGAAATTGATTTACTGCACTCGGGGAAACGTAAAAATTAATGAAATACAAAAATACATGAGTGAGTGATTAAGGAAATAAATAAATAAATAAGATACGTAATGTGTACGATTTTTAAGAGTTGCTCCCCTATAAACACCCTGATAGTGATCCCAATAAGTCAAAGGCAAAGTACGACACCGGAACTATGAAATGGAGAGTTTGAACTGAAAAAAATCTGCTGACAAAGCACCACCAGAAAAAAAACTGCACATGANNNGAAGACGGGGTCAAAATTCTTTTGAACAGAGTTAGTTTGGACTCATTGTGAAGTAACAAAGAGCATGATCTTAGGAGTTCATTAAATTACTAGGTGAATCGACCAAAGCAATAATTCAGTCAAATGGCAGCCGGATTGTTAGTAAGGATTTGAAAGGGTTCTGATCAGGATAGAGGTTTTTTCAATTTTCTCTATCAATTTCATGAGGTACAGATGTCAAAACGCCGAATTATGTGGAGTTGGAGAGAGAGGGCTTTCTGAAAAGGATTTTTAAGATATTCAAGGACCAGCAAGCTGGATTGACTGGCCATTACTGAGCAAGGACGATGAAAGAAATCAGTCACGGGAATTACTGCAAGCGTGGGAAGAAACGACATTTAATAGGAACCGGCTGGAAAGTTAATCAATAAACAGCGAAATGTCCGTCATAGTGACCGAGTGCCGACAAACAAACAAAACACACGTGGTGGTAGAGAGTTCGCCGTTGAACTGGCCATCAATCAATTGCCGATACAAAAATATCATTGACGATCTTTGTCGATCTATTATGAGCTGATGTTTGTGCTAAAGAGTGCCCGTCAAAATTTCGTATTAGAATGGGAATGTTTCCTTCTGTACATACAATTTTATTTTCAAAGGTGCCCCTTAAAAGGACTACAAAAAGAAGTTTGACTATAATATTTTTCTGCTTTTCTGAACATTGCTACCTGTCCCCCTCCCCCTCCCCCTCGCCCCCTCGTAGATTAAGTTGAAGGTCCCACACATGAATAGTGTGGAACTTGCTTTAAAGTGACCAAAAGATAGTTCATTAACGAGCTCAACCACCTTTTTGATTGATCTATTCTAGTGTATTTGATCGGAGTGCATTAGTAAGAAGTAAGTTGTCACTTGCAAATGTCTGAATCAAATTGGAAAAATTAGTCTTAAATTGAGCGGATACACTGTAGTGGTAAGCGGGGCCGTCGGTGAGGGAATCTGACTTCATGGTCAGATCGGATCTCACAAAGACCAGCAGACAAGTTCCCTTAACCTTCAAATCGACTAAATGGAACCAAGGCGTGAGGAAGAACCGAGCCACTAATTTTCTCATGACTTTGTTTTTAATTTTACATAAATCAACTGGTTAACTCATTCAAACCAAAGCCAATTCTAATGCCCCGGTTACTCTGAATGAAGGAAAGATGCGTGGCGCATTCTCGTCAAATCTAAGGCTTCATGCCCAAGCTACTCCCGATGAATAGCCTAGCTTCTTGGAACTACGCCCTGTTTTCAAACATACGGTGAAGGTAAAATTAACTTCAAAACTTGTGCGATTTTGAGAAAAAAAANAAAAAAAACCAAAAACCTTGCTCTCGTCCCTTCTCCTTTTCAATTTTTCTCCGTTCACCTACTTCATAATAGATGTATAAAGCAAGCATCGGAATACGTGAAGTAAATCCCAAAATCACCCGCTTCGTTTCCTCAAAATTCTTGAAATTCCCACAGTGCGGTTTTCCTATTGCGATTTAATCAAAAATGTCAAGCAACTGGAACGTAACTCGTCCAAAGGGGCGGGGCTTTCGATGCATAGGCTATCTTGAATTAAGTACCTGTTTCAGGGTTCCGAAGGTGGTTTCTGTTATCCACAACGAGATCGTGGTATGGAACGAAGACGTACCGGATGTGATTGTTTCAAGGATGTGCCATTATTGAGACGAAGAAAACGTTCATACAATCATATCATTGAAACACGACAACTACCATAAAATGGGGCGTGGCTGTCAAGGAAGATCCACTCGCTTATCTATTCATGGGTACTGTATAAATTATATTTTGTGTGTTCTATTGACATCTGTGCTAGACATGCCATAAGTGTCGCTAACTGAATATTTTCAATAATTCGAATGTTTGCAAATTTAGGTCAATGACTAGTTGCTGAGATAGTACCGAATAAACATTGTACATAGGCTATATACCGCAGCTTTTCACAGATATTGATCGGTGTTATCGATTTTCAGATGTGTTAGTCAACAACTTCAAAAATTTATCGAAATAATCGAATACGAGACAATAATGAAGGGGCATAGAACTCTTGAAGAAGCGATATGTAGGGAAAACGGTTTTGACCAAAAGCCGAAACTCCCTTCTAAACCGGGCGCTTTTGGACAACTGCCAAGTTGCGGCAGCGCCACGCGACGCAGACTATATCCAGCATTTTGATAAAGCGGAGACAATATGTATAAAGAATATTGTCATAAAAAATATGAATCATTAAAGCTATTAAATCAATGGCAAGGCGAGCAGGAAAGAAAAGAAAGTATGGAATAGGAATTGAGTACGAGTTTCAGCACTAAAACATTTCTTGGGTCATCAAAAGGGAACAAGGAAGACTGGGTTTTGTGTAAATGTAGAATCCCGAACTATCGAGCGTCTCATCCCCTAATTTTCAAACCGTAACCTTCGCGAGAGGTTCTGCAGGGATACCGGAAACATGCAGCAGTCGACAATAGCAAATACCGGACGACATATTTAAAACTCATGGACTCTCCCTGTATTTCTTCAATAGTTTAGTGGCTAAAAAGCTTCGGAAGTGTTACAGTAACCGCTGTGACTAAATCTGAGGCAGCCGCAACGCTTACGCACGCGTCCAGTACAGTACCTGTTAGGCAGCGTTCCAATGAATGCGTGCGATGGCCCAGTGGATAAAGGAAACTCATAAATTCAATCTTAGGTCCAGTTTTATCACATCTAACAAAGGTCCAAAGAACGATTCGATTGAAAAATATTTTTCTTAGGCAGGAGATTTGGTCAATGGGAAAGGCGCCTCTGGAGCGTTCGCTATAAAAACCTCAAAGATGTAGCCATATTCAGGTGCATATCCTATATAGAAGCCTCACTCTTCGAAGGAAAAAGCCTTACACCCGTGATCACTGCTTTTGTCTGATGGAACGCTTTTCGGCTCTTATATTCCGCGGAAACTGGAAAAACGGATGTCAGTGGATGTCAAGGGAAGCCTCTATAAGAAGATCATACACATATTCCAGATTTGAATAGTCTTAGAACGGAATTGAAACGACAAAGCAGAAATTCAGGGATATAGGTAAAACATACATCAGAGATACCCTGAGTAGTAGAGACAGTATCGATGAAGCGCTCAACTCATAATTAAAAGGATTTTCAAGATTCGTATCAATAGGCGACAAATGAGGTCCAAAGCGACGGATACCTTCCGAAGCTACCGTATCAATAGACAGGTGAGCAGCAAAACGAGTAGCACCACAGTATCTGGCTGTCGACAACCAGACAATGAACCATTGCAGCTGAAAAAAATCAAATCAGTACGTTGTTAGAATTCTTCTGCCGTTCGAGATTTCAGGTGGATCACTTTACAAAGTTAACGGCCTAACGTTCCGACGTAATCTTGTCTTCAGAGGCCTAAACGCAATTCGTAATTTTTCACAGTATCCGATAGCAAAAAACGTCCGAAACTCATCGGAAAACTACCCATTTCATGAAATACTCACCAGGCTCCACCGTCAAAGCGGATAGAATCCGCTGCCGCCACAGGCGACTGCCAGTAGCGAATGACACTGCTTTATTTCTCCCTTATACTGATAAGGGAGATCACATTACGATGCTTATGACTAAGAGTCATAGCTCGCAGAGCGGTAAGTATGGCAAGTGGTCACTGGTTATGGATGGGTACTCATCTCTGTTGTTCATTGCAGAACCCAGAACGCCTCTAATGCCTTTCTTGCTGAAATTTCCGTCTCCTGCGTCAATAACGTGCACATCACTTCAAAATTGTCGCCGATGTGTCCCTCAACTTTATGTCGACCGAGGGCTGTCAAAAATCGTAGCTCGCAAAGGGTAAACATATGGTAATAGATAGTAAACGACAATGCTGAGGTTAAAACAAGAGAGAAGTTGGAGTTTAATCAAGTCAGTGACTCGGAGATTCAGACTAATGGTGCACTGGTAGAAAGCGTAGCTGCCCGTAACCAATTGCTTCGGGTTTCACTCATCGAACTTAACCCTGTCCGAAGGTCAGAACCAAACTTCACTAAATATTTCAGGTTTCTAAGTGAGAAAAACGCATTGCGCACTCTCGAATAATCAATACAAAACCTCACAATTAATAGCTCTGGTAGTCCAGGTTCTTCTGAAAACTCATTGCACCTCAACTTCTCATTTCTAGTTGTGGACCAAATGAGTTAAAATTTACTTTAAACTTCACCGCAAATTTCAATCCTACCAAGATTTGTAGTTTTGGTTGAGGGAACATGGATGTTTAGCCTTTCCACATTTGATAAAATCATTTCAGTCTTTCTATAGAAAGTTTGGATGAAGCAGGTAATCTTGCCGAGTTGGATTTCGGCACTGTTTAGACTCCTCCCAAATGTAACCGTCAAGCCTCCCTCGCTGCGTCACAAACGCCATCGATCAGCGGGACTTACAAGGGGTTTTGGACTGATCTGCCTCTATACTAATTGAAACTCTCCAAAGTATGAATTCGAACTCTCTAGTATCCGTCAGCTCGGTTATAAGGTCGAAAAACGTTCGGGTTAGGGCACAAGAAGGCGGCAGAGATTGTACCAAGTGAATGCCACACCATCTGTTAAGCTGACCATGAAATCTTAGTGTTCGCATTGAAGCAGCTTCGGTGAAAAATCAAGCAGATGATCGTCGTAGCGTGAGTTATCATATTTCAGACTATTCTCTCAATACACTTCTGCTCTTTATGACTAATATTGTTCTGAATACCTGTTCTGTTAGAGTAAGAGAATAAGAGTATAGCGCGAAATAAAACCGCTTATACCAGGACCATCAGCTAGCTGGAAAACGTTATTGACTCACTGTAGTTAGGTGTACGCAATGACACCGAATACCCCTCCCAAATTGAACGTTTGCGGTTACGGACACACTTTACAAGATGGCTACAAAGTATCGACCACCTATTCTACCTGTTTCTCGGTAACCATAGGTTCCTTTTCAGCTGTATGACATATAGCTTGAGTGAAGCAGAACAAACATCTATTTTGTCGATATATGGAAATCCCAGAAACAAGAAATACGGCCGAAATATCTGCGCATCTGGCATCCAGCGCACAATTTGTCGACTAGGGATTTTCTTCCGCGGGGAATGCAAGAAGATTCCATATTAACGGCAGAACACCAAGAAGAGTGGTGGCACGATACAAGAAACGAGGCCATCATCCGACTTCATCAGCGAGTTCTGAAAGCGGATCGGCGAAAAGCTGTCAATGTTCCACAGATCCGAAGGATCACCATGAAAAGGATTTGCCGCAACAACGAAGTCAGTTTGAACAGAACTGTTTCGGATTCGAATAATTCGCGCAGAAGTGTTCAGAAAATTGTCAAACAAGACCTGGATTGGTACAATGAACGCTTCAATCTAGGACGCGTTCACCATGGCTGCGAAGGAGAATCGGCTCCAGAAGTGCAAGGAACTCCTTTCCAGTTCAAGGAGGCCGCCTTTCAAATATCGTATCTACCGACTAAAAAAGCTTCATTGTCGAAGTTGTGCTCACAGCAGCCAGAACCATCGGCAGTTGCTTTCTCTGGATGAAAATAGGGGCCTTTTTCCGAAGTCGGCGATGATTTGGGTCGGTATAGCAACTGAAGGCAAAACTCATGTCGTTTTTGCCGATAGAAACATTAAAATCAACTCCGAAAGTTACCAAAACAATATTCTGAATAACACTCTCATGCTGGAAACACTTTGCCAGACGGAATTTTATTTTGCAGCAGGACAGGCACCAACTCATGAGTCAGTTAGCGATCTCCTTCTGCAAGCACCTGGATTCTGTGATAAGGATATCTGGTTATCAACACTTGAATCGAGAGGACAAGTATTCTGGGGATCTATCTACAGCAGGAAAGTCTTCTTCTGCTCATCGCGGTCTGGATGGATGGAAGGCAGCGCTTGAGAAGGAGTGGGAGAAGATTGATATCAACTACCTGTGGAAGCCTTCACCAAGTGAATGGAGGCTTATATTCAAGCAAAAAGAAACCATTCTGAACAATGCCTTACATAGTTGTTTCTATGTGTTGCCTAGTGAATAGTGATGTTTTATCATGAATCGTAGTTGTCTAATAATTTTGTAAGCGTTTAATCACCAGACCATTCTTCGTAGCCACCCTGTGAATATGCCGTTTTTCTCGTTTTTTTCGATACCTTTACTTATTTCTAGACTAATTAATCGTGGGAATCGGATACTCCAAAATAATCCTGAACTGTGCCTTTAAGTACTTACCGGTCACCGAGACAGCTGCACACACGTACGCGTTGCGAGTCGGCCCTATCGTGTCTGAAGAGATCTGCCGCTGACATTTCTCTGGAAACCAGGAAATTAATAAATTGAGCGACGTCCCTTATATGAATGGATGACTTTATGCTAGAAATCACTTGTGAAATGCTGAACTGTTGTTTCGTTGATGAAATCTTATGGTTTTTTGTTTCGAACCCCAAGAGGTAGACAAGGCCCTCTGATCGATCGATAAATGGGAAGCGGTTGGCCACTGATGACGTCTCGAAGTAAAGAGAATGGACCAATCACAGCGACGCAGCGGCAACGCCCTCCCGTCGTCTATAAAAAGGCGGCAACCCATCAGCTTCCTCCAGTTTGTCCATTGACCAGATCGAATAAAGTCGAGTGGCATCTTTCAGAGTAGAGCGGTAAACCTATTTGATAACTGGCTCCAACGCAAATACTGTCAGCGGCAAATCCCAAGTTCTCTCATCTTGAAACCTATGCATTTCTGTTGTTCTTGAAATTGTTAATTTTGCTTCTGTCTCGAGGTTGGTAGAGGTGATTCGCTACTAATCTACTAACCGTGTAGCGTAGCGCTACACTTCGCGGTGAAAGTAAGGTCTTTGAAAACGAAGAGCCCGTCGAAACGTTGACCAGAATAAAAAATCCACCCACAAACCCTGGAGGCAGAAGCAAAATCAACAATTTCAAGAACAACTCTCAGCGGAGCGCGGACGCTAGCACGGGCCACGATTCTTAAGGAGCGCTATTCACTGACGCACCGACCACTGGACGCTTGACTGTGAAAGTGCTAAGTGGTCAAACTAGGCTCGCATCATAGGCAAAGGCTGCTGCGAACAGATGTAGGAAATCATCACCGTGCGGTAGAGTAATGGTAGAGGAATTACTGTCATACTACGGTGGGTATACATTGTATTGTAGGTATAGCTTTGTAGCTGCTAAACCATACCTTGTACCTTCACGGGACTGCAGAGGCAGTTCTAATTAGCCAACCTTCTCCAATAAAAGCTTTCAGAATCCCCTTTCCAGCCCTTGATTACACGCTAAAGCTAAAGCTGAGCGCAGTCCATTAAGTGTCTAAGCATGAGAGTAATTTGTAAGCTGACTCGACACTGATTGCAATGCGAACCTTGCTTAACATCCATTAGAAATTTGATCTACACACGATCGATCGCCGTCCCCGAGTTATCTGCAGAACCATCACTGTATTCTACCGTGTAGAGCCGCAACAGGACCGAAAATTTTCATCAAAAACTCGACAAGAAGCAAAAATCTGGGTTATTCCTCGTTAGAGCTTCTAGAACGGCACTACTTCCAGTTTTTTAGTGCGAAAGAGTTGCAGCTCAACTTCCAATGGTTACTGATGTGACTACAAAAAAGGGTTCAGTTCTATTTGGAAAACCAATTCTGAGAAAACATTTGGGATTCGGGGATTTTTCAAGCCGTCCCTTTATAGTTGGTCCTGAAACGAAAATCCGACCCATTAGATGTAAAATAGTACCTGCAAATGTCATATCGGTCAAACATGCTGAGCGTGTGATTGTTCAGACCTCTTCTGGCCATAGTAAGCGCACATCCACGCATGAATAATCGTTTGCCAGTTGGTTGACCTGAAACATTTTGATACAGTCTCGGTTGTTTTTGTTACTTATTGAGCTGCATTATTGAGAAATGGAGCAAACGGTAAACAGATCAGCACTACTCACCCATTACATAAAGATCTTGCTGTACAGTCAAGCATATCGTCCGACATGATACCAAATGCATTGATTCAGGATTCATCGGCTCATCGCATTGATAGGAAAAGTTTTTGGGAGGAGTAAAATATCTGGAAAAGGTGACTCGTCCACATGCACATAACTCGCCCAGGGGATTAATGCTCAAGAAAAAAGACAATAGTCTTGCCTGTCCAGGCCATTTTTGAAGAATTCCTCATACATCGGTGACATACAGCTGTAGCAGCGATTCTGCCGGTACATACCTCAAAAATCAATCGATACGTATGTTATGCAAATGGGTATGGACTACTGCTTACCTGCTTTAACAGTTGCTAATAGAAAATATAGACATATGGACAACATCTGCTATCATATCATATCACATCTGTCATAATTATGCTTTACGCATTCACTGAAATGAGAAAGATCCGAAATTGGCACCTTTGGGACGAGATAATTGATTACACAGAATTTCACGAAAGTATATCCATAAATACGCGAAAAAGTGACAAACGAACATCCCAAGAAACTCTGGATGTCTCGGAAATTATAAATGTACTGTGCACTACAAGCTTACGCGAATCTCAAAGTGTCGCTACGAAAATCGATAATTGATCGGACACAAACGAACGGAAATTTGCACACAATGCAGATTATCGCAGAATGAGGAGGAGGAACAATCAATTTTCTGAAAACACTAAAGGAATGTCTGGGTAAGTACTGCTTGCTGGATAATGTAAGTAGGCACAGAAATGAAATTAAGAAGTCAAAAGTCGATAATCGATCGCGCACGGGATAAAGCTAACGGAAAAAAAGCTGAAGAAGTCAATCCATACTTCTGTGAAGGCTCAGCTCTTTATGAAGCATGCGATATTCAATGTTCCAGCTCAACACCCTCAGTGAGATTTCCAGCAATTTACATGTTTCAAGAAGAGTGGGATACAAATCCGACCGTAATGAGCAGTAGTAAGAATAATTGTATACTATACACCTGTATACATCGTAATACTCCCCCTACCACCCACGCTTCCCATCAGCCTACACGTTTCGGAAGTTGTAAGTAAACCCAAATTTTCGATTGCTACTTTGCTAAAATAAATAATATATCAGACATATACGGTAAAATTCTTCGGTCGGTAGCAAGGAGTGGTTGCCTGGACCTAATAAAGCACCTTTCACATGGGGGACCTATGTAAGGGATGGGATGCATTTTTTGTAAGCACTTTTGGCATTCTCCGTAGGATCATGTCTATCTCGAAGCACTAATCAAACAGAATAAGAAATCACTTACGAGACAGTGAAATTTCGGGAATAGGACACATTTTTACGAATTACTGAGTATAAGAATGTGTCATTCTTTGACAAGAAGCACGAAAAATCCAACTGAAATTTAATATGCTCGCAATTGTGTCAGTCAGAAAGCAGCAGGTTTCATATGACTAAAGGACGATGCCCAGAATAAGTGCACATACTTTTGGAAGTTGCTGTAAAGCTACGGGCGCCCTGATCAGTCGTATAATTGATAGATCAAATCCAAACTGAGTAACTCAAACATTTTAACCTTTTGGAGTCAGCTATACAGTAGCGCTCGAGAGTATTCGGCCAAGAGCTTTCACGCGTTTTCGTTCATAACTTTTTCCTTAGAGGAGCAAATCGCGCGAAATTTTGATATGTTTAACTAAAGGATATTTTACACTATCCAACATTACTTGACTGCAAAGCAGCAATATCCACATGACGAAGAGCAAGGTGTTTGTTGGGGTAGCAGATTTCGCTAGAAGCAAAGTAAGTGACGTCTGTAGTTATTCGCACCTTATGCGCGTTTCTTTTCTCTACTGTGTTCGGCATTAGCGCTCGTATATTTCAGACTTCGCAAAAAGGGGAGAAGTTCCAAAAGGACTATCATCTGTATTTTTAGTTGATTTTGAGTTCAAGCCCTCTAGGATAACTGAAACATGAACAGAGCCAGGTTAATAGTGGTAAATATTCACAATACACCCATGCTATACACACTGAAATTTCGCATGATTAGATCCAGTAGGAAAGAAGTTACGACTGAAAAGTAGGGCTTAGGAAGCATTCGACCGAATACTTTTGAGCGCTACTGTATATTACCTTATACAATACAGTATGGAAATACAGTATGAAAAATGCCGAAGTTTGCCATATGCTGACGAAAGCAAGAGCGATAGGCATCTACAAAAATCGATAATTGATTGATAGAAATGCATGAAAATTTGCAGAAAAAAAGGAGCAATATGACAACAGTTTTTTCAAAGCACCCAAGCAACTTTTGAATTATGCGATAGTCGAGAATACCGTATGCGCCTGTTTTCCTACCGTAATCCTTTTTCTGTCTCATACTACTAAATACGTAAAATAGCGTGGTTTATTTGTAGGTGAAACACAGACAGCACAACTTATTCGACGACAATATGCAGAAACTATGCTAAAATAACCAGAAAGTATGCGGTCTGCTCTACGACAACGATTACGGTAGGAAAATCGCATGGAGAATTTCTTTTCTACTTCAATCGGCTCTCTCAGGTGATTTCATGGGGAAACGGCCTACTAGGAATCCTACAGTATGACTCTGGTAGCGAAAGTCTTTTTATTAGAATGTTGGATTATAAACTTTCGAATAAGAAAAAAAGGTTTAAATACCGTCCCTGTCTCCTGGCCTTCTACTACTTAGTTTTGCTCCCAAAGACTTGAGTCTTTCCCACTCTGGGATGTTTTTCCCTTTCCTCCTGCTTTGATATTTTCTATTTATGTCCCTAGAGCTATAGAAAGAGGCGTTTTGAAAGAAAAAAAAGCAGGAAATCGAAATGAATCAAAAATAGATGGAGCAGACAGCGTTTGAGAAGCACATAGAGCATATGTAACGAACGGCAACGAGCAATCCAATCAACTAATTTAACGATGCAATTAGTATAAGAGCGAAATAGAGCGCTCGTTAGCGCTCTATCACATTTCGTGTCGTCATTGAAAAAAACGCCGAAGCTCTTGCATTGCTATGCAGTGAAAAATCGAATAATTTAATTCTACCCGATAGAAACCCATAAGGCCTTTGTCAGAAAGAGTCATATGACTTCCAGATTTCTTTTTTGAAAAATTCCTATACTTTTATAGGAATTCACGGGGCATGAAATATTATAGATTCAGTCTGGGCCCAATCTACACATGCTTCTACGATTCTGAATAGAGGGGGGAAGTGCAATACTTTTTCAGTTCATCCTCTGCACTATATATCAAAGATATAAGCAGATAATACAAAAAGGTTGAAGGTGGGTGAGTGTCCAGAAATCGAACCTAACGTCACACTTTCAACATGAGGCCGAGAGTGTTCAGAAATCGGACCTAACGCCACACTTTGAACATCATTCCGTGAGATAAAAATTGTATTAGGTTATCGTACTCAATGTTTGGTAAGAGCTATCTAAATATACCGTAATGGCACCGTATACGAATGGAAGTCTGAGAGGATTCGATCCAACAAACCTTTTATTAACGATACAGGTGGCTGTGCCATTGAGCAACCGGCTCATTAACTTAAATTACTTCTGCGAATGGGATTGTAAAGATATAAGTATAAGAAGTACAAAAGTGAGCTGAACTACGAACCTTTCGTTTGGTTTTTTCTTTCGTCGCGCGAGTTTTCCGCTCATCGCGTGCGACCATAAAAACCAATGACCAGTATGCATGTTCTCAATGTGGCTCTTATAAGTGGCTCACTCACAACGTCCTTAATTTGCAGCTCCCCTCGATCCTGCATTTATAGGCATCATAGGAAGATCGCTGATCCATTCAACATCTAGTTTTGAGAGTCAGAAACCGGACCTAAGGTCACATATTCGAATCGATTTAGAGCGGGACATAAATAGAATTGGAAAGTGCGTTATACTCAGGCTAATCGCTGGTATTTTGAGCACTTGAAGGCCCGAAACCCGAGCTTCGCAGCGGTTTGGGACCCATCCAAGACAACTGGCATTCATGTGTTCAGAAACGGGAATAAAGTTATGGTAATAAACAAATATAAACAAAGTTGCTGGTCAAATTCAATAGGCTGGGAGAGCCTACAGGGACACGGGGAAAAGCGTGTGGGAAACCAATATGGCTGTTGTCATGTGGTAGATAAATAAATGGATATCAGTAATAAATACTAGTAAACGAAGGAGTAGGTAACGGAACCTACGTAAACGGCGATTGCGATTTGTAGCTGGCTGCTTTTAGAATTTGTAGTGCGTGCCAAGCTCCTATAAATCGCCTTGTCAGACTCATAACATCAGTAATGATTTGTGAATATGTTCATTTGGCTTAATGGCCTAGACTATTCCCATCAAAAAGTAGGAGCTCATTCTCCAGAACAACAAAAAGCAAACATGACTGGATTCCGTGAAATTTAAAGTTTTCAGGGGAGTGGGCGTAGCTGTCAGCACCTGACAGGGGCAGCAAGCATGGCACCACCGCCAAAAAGGGATGTCAAAAAGTTTGAGGGAATAAAACTCAACTAAGACACATAAAGCCACACGAGGCATTAAAAGGGTCCTGAATATTATCGATTTTTCTTACCTGAGAGTTTCACATGATGCTGAAATTACTGCTGCTGCTTCCAAGTTCTGCCTTCAAATGAACCGAGTGCACATTGGAGGTGGTCCACACCTACCGCAACAACAGAAATGAGAGAGATTGCTGGTTCGCCATGTTGGATTTGTGTTTCTGGGATAGACAGGCAGTCCTGTGAGCATGTTGGAGATCTTGGGAAATCTTATATTAGGAGATTCGACTATAGAGACTAGCATATGCACTATTCTTTGGGGGGGGGGGGGGGGGATTCGGTAAAGACTACAGCGGCTTAGACTTTCTCAGGTTTCCAGAATATGACTGCACTCCTACCAAATCACACCTCTACCTCATAGAATCAATTCTAAAGGTAATAAATCTTGTCGGATCGAAAAATCTATTCACCTATGATTGCATTTGATAAAGGAGCACCGTAACCCAGAAGCACCCATAGTGTCTCAGAAAAACGTCTACTTTCCCAGACAGCATCTGTGTTTACAGCCCTCCAAGGTTGCTTACCCTGAATATAAGCGGAACCTGAGCGAAACTCAGCTGATTCCGGGAAAAACTAGGCTCTCCAAACCAACAATGTACTGGTGAAAAGATTTAGCAACTCCTTTGTAGAGTTGTCGGCCGACAGCTTGGCCTAAGCGGCGTTTTTCTTCCAAAGTCTCCTTTGAAGTCCAAAGCATAAAAGGCTTAAATAAAGTAAATTCATTCCAAAAAGCACAGCAGCCTACTGAAAAAATAGTTCCACGTTTGTTAGTATCATGACTTACCCTCGTTTATCCACTGGTTGAGGCTGGTAAAGGTGGAAGGCAGAAGTTTCCCCTGATAAGAGTGTTAGAACATATCTACACAGGCCAGTTCCGTCCCGTCCAAAGAGAGAAGGAGGAGGAAGAGTGTAAGAGCAGAGGACGACGTGAATGTCAGGCCGTTTGGACAGAGTATCATGTATCAGG